AGGTCTGTGATGCATAAAATTATCATAAATCTACATGGAAGTTACCGGAAGAGTTATGTTTCAACTTTTTTTTTCCTTGAAGTCAAAGTTACCATGGTGGTTGAACATAAGTTATGAGGTCCATCGTGCATAAATGACCTTGCTATTACACAGAAGTTAGCGGGGCATAAATTATCGGGTGTTGGTGCATAAATTACTGTGCTATTTACATTGAGTTATCGGGTGCTGGTTCATAAACTACCCCTGCATAACTTTTTTCCCTTGAGTTATCGGGTGCTGGTGCATAAATTACTGTGCTATTTACATTAGATTATTAGGGTGTATTTCTACAACTTTTCGCCCATGGTGAAAAGTTATCAGTGTGTTTATATGTAAGTTATCAGGTATGTGCTGTGTAAATTACCATCTTATTTACACAGAAGTTATCGGGTAAGTTGAAAACTTATCAGTGTGTTTATATGCAAGTTATCAGGTCTACTGTGCGTAAAGTACCATCTTATCTACACATAAGTTACCAGGAGTATGTTTCATAAATCCCCGGATAAAAAACTTATTAATTTGTTTGTATGTACGTTATCAGATCTACAATGCATAAAATACCATGATATTAACACAGAAAGTTACCGGGAGATGTTTCAACAAAAAAAATTCTTTCCCGGATGAAAGTTAACATGGCGTTTGTGCGTAATTTATCTTGTTTGTGGTGTAAATTACCAGGTTATTTGCATAAAAAGTTATGAGGCTATATTTCTACAACTTTTCTCTCCCGTGTTCAAAATTTATCAATGTGTTTATACATAAGTTATCAGGTTAACATTATATAAGTTATCATCTTATTTACACAGAAGGTACTGGGGTATATTTCAACAACTTTTCCCCTCGGATGGTTAAAAAGTGGTATTTTATTTGAACTTGTCACGAGCCAAGTAGTGGGTGAGTTGGCTATTTTTTAGTCTGCTAAGATCTCAATATTGAATTCTTAAGTTCAATTAGCATGATTTTTAGGCTATAAAAATTACAAGTATGGAAACTGCTGGCATCAAGGGAAAAAATCATGATTAAAACTCAGCTGCCTCATGTCCACGTGTAAATTAGGATCGTCGCTAAATTCCTAAATCAGTGTCCCGCAAAAACCGCGATCTCATTAAAAACAGGAGAGAGGATTACACGAGAAAATACGAAAAAATATCTTGAAAATTGGGAAAGAGGGAGTCGAGCACACCCAACGCGATAGGAATCGAAAAGCTAATGAATCGCTCGGATCTCTTGCAGAATTCCGAATGTTCGGAAACTATGTTTGTCATTTTCTGAATTCCATCGCTGTGTTATCCAAATTATGTGTTTGTCATCAATAACTTTTTTGATATTTTTATTGTCTGATGTATTCTTTTGTACAAACCCCAACAAGCCTTTTTATAACTGAACAATCAATTGGGATAGGGTTTGAACCCAACAGCGATAGGGGTTCCACTCAAATCCCCTCGAGGTCAATTCCATGTGGGGAATAAAACCATAACAACCGAACAAGGCCTAAAGGATTTAAAGAGGCCCCCGGATGCTCTAATCGAGTTCATCACTTTAGTTAACCATGACATGGATGCCATAGACAATGGGCATGCATGCCAACATTTGTGGGAATTCACGAAGACTCATATTTGGGAGCCGTATGCTCAGTAATAACAGTTTTTACAGTGAAAAAGCAACATATCTGAAGATTCAACAAATGCACTACCATACTGACCAACCAAAAGATTAAAAAATATCAAAATTGCACAATCGAACATTAACGGAGACCCAAATTTCAAATCACGGGAGAAACAATTTCGTGGTAACCTCAATCAGGAGCTATACCGTTCGCTATAGAGGGCAATAGTGGCGATAGTGGACAAGTTTCCAGTCGACATAGTGAATTTAAGGAGGTTTCTTCAGAATTTGGCGCATTCAACCGGATTTCTAGGATTTCTCCACTTAGTGTTCCATAGCTTAGAGCAACTCCAGCTGCGCCCCCAACAGGCCCCCAAGGCGATTTTTTAGCGCTAGCACCTGAAAATCGGCCCGGTAGCGCCCCCAGGATCTCGTTTAGCGTCAGTTTGGGCCGAAATAATAGGCGGCGACCCCAAACCGAACCCAAGCCCCCGGGGGTCGCCTGGTGGCGCCGGCCGAAGCGAAAAGGGGTGTGAGTCCGCTCTGTCGGCGAGAGAAGGCCATCCCCCCCCTCCCCGCCCCCCGCTTTTACCCCATCCGTTTCCCT